CCCGGATTAGCTAGATATCTACTCACAACACCGACAGCATGAGCAATATCTGGTCTTGTACACACCATTTCATACATAAGACTTCCTACGGCTGAGGAATAGAGGACTGCCTTCATCTCTTCTTTTTCTTTCTCAGAAGATGGACAATTTTTCTTACTCAACTTAAAGTGGTTAGCCAAGGGCGTACCAACGGGCTTGGCATTTTCCATGTTGAACTTTTTGATCACACGTTCAACATACTCTTCTTGTGATAAGAACAATTTTCTTGATGGTCTTAGCAACATGTTCAGAGGATTTTCTCAAGAGCAATGTCAACAAATCATGTCTACTCTATCTTCTCACATGATTTCTGTTAATCCTAGTGAAGAGACCACTACAGGTAAACATTATTCTCTCTCAATTAGACATGGTTCCAAATTCTCTTTGTGGATTCTTGATTTAGGGGCTTCTCAACATTTGTGTCATGATATAACTCTTTTTCACAACAAAAGGAAGGTGTATAGACATACATTAACTCTTCCTAACAAAGTTACTTTACCTGTTCATCTTGTTGATGATGTGAAATTAGATCCTATAATCACTCTTCAAAATGTGTTGTATGTTGCTGATTTTGATATGAAACTTATATCAATCAGTGCACTTACTAGAACACAAAGATTTATAGTATATTTCACTTACAGTCATGCAATGATTTAGTATATCAAGGAAATGAAGATGTTTGGCAAGGCTGAAATTGATGAAGGATTATATGTCATGGGAAATTGTGGAGTCAAGAAGGAAGAATCTCAGTTTACTACATCAAGGATTAGTAATGTTTCTTTACAAGTATGGCATAAACGATTAGACCATCCATCCAATAAATGTTTGATTCCTATTAAAGAACTTTTGAATGCTTTTGTCTCTAGTAATCAAAATGACAACTATTGTCCAATTTGCCCCTTGGCTAAACAGAAACAACTTCCTTTTAATTCCATGAATCATATTTGTGATGAGAATTTTTCCTTAGTTCATTGTGACATATGGGGGCCTTATCAAAATGTTACACACACTACACATAGATATTTTGCAACTTTGGTTGATGATCACAGCTGATATACATGGATACATCTTTTAAAACAAAAGTTAGACATTCAAGAAATAAACCCAAAGTTCTATTCATTCATTTTAACTCAATTTAACAAAAAGATAAAGATTTTTAGATCTGATAATGCTAAAGAATTGGAGTTTAAGAATTTTTTTTTGGAGAAAAAGGGATTGAACATCAAAAATCATGTGTTGCAAGACGTCAACAGAATTCTGTAGTTGAAAGAAACATCAAAATCTATTAAATGTTGCAAGGTCTTTAATGTTCCAGTCACATCTTCTAATTACTTTTTGGGGGCGAATCTGTTCTTCCAGCTGCATATCTCATCAACAGAATTCCTTCTAAGGTTTTTTATAATGATTCACCGTATCTCTGATTACATGGTTTCAATCCCGAATACTCTTCTCTTAGAACCTTTGGCTATTTAGCATTTGCTTCAACATTAACAGCTAATCGTCTCAAATTTGAACCAAGAGCAAAGATGTGTGTTTTTCTTGGGTATCCTCCAAATATGAAGGCTTATAAACTTCTTGATTTCAATACAAAGAAGATTTTTTATTCAAGAGATGTTGTTTTTTCATGAGAATATCTTTCCTTTTCAAAATTACTCTAAAAACTCATGTCAAGATGTTTTTGACAAAATTGCCCTTCCATACCCCTTTGCTGATAATGACATTGTTGACAATTCAGTTCCACAAATTGACACTTCAATTCCTGTACATCATGATCAATCAAATGTATCTCAAGATAATGTTTTAAGGTGATCTACTCATATAAATCAACCTCCTTCTTATCTTAGCGATTTTCATTGTAATGATGTCACCAATTCTAATAACCCACATTCGTTGCATAAAGTTCTTTCTTATGACAAACTTTCAACCAAACATCATGTTTTTGCTATGTACATTTTTGCTACATTTGAACCCAAACATTATAATCTAGCGTCCAAATATCCAGAATGGTGTAATGCCATGGATTTTGAGATAGAGGCAATAAATGTTAATCACACACGGAACATTGTTCCATTATTAGCAAACAACAATATTGTGGGTTGCAGGTGGGTATATAAGATCAAACATGGTAGTGATGGGAAGATTGAAAGATATACGACAAGATTGGTGGCCAAAGGTTTTAAACAAAAAGAAGGAATTGACTATTTTGAGACTTATTCTCCGGTGGCAAAGCTAGTAACTGTTAAGATGCTTTTAGCTATTGCAGCCATTAAAAAGTGGAACATGGTTCAATTAGATGTCAAAAATGCTTTCCTCAATGGTGAATTACATGAGGAAGTATTCATAGATCTTCCACCTGGTCTTCATGTTAACAATCGAGAACAGAAACATTCATCAAGATTAGTATGCAAATTGAACAAATCAATATATGGTCTTAAACAAACTTCTAGACAATGGTTTGAAAGATTTTCTCAATTTATGCTCAGTTCTCAATTTATGCTCAGTTCTGGTTTTGGAGATAAACTATAAGGGTATTATTGTAATTTTATAATAGATAGTCAGTTAGAATCTATTTAGTACGTAGTTAGTATTGTTTTACTTTTCCCTCATGCATAAAGATGCAACAACTTTATTGTTATAGTAATGGACTGATTACTTTTCTGTAATCCTGTTAGATGTAATAGTCTCACTACGCAAATGGAAAGTAAGAAGGCATGTGACCTAATATGCTTACAAGATTAATTAATCAGACGGATAATATATGACATGTGATTAGCAAAATGTTTATGATGTGTCTAAGAGATTTTAAGCCTCTATATATAATATTGCAAACAAGGACATGTTTTGGATAAATTAGAATTCACCCAAGCAATAGCGTGAGAAGAAACGCTCAACACGTCAGGATTTAAGGTATATTTTGGAAAATGGAAACGTACACTGGCCCTTGTGATCCCAACATCTTCATGACCTCCAACGTTCTTCGTTTGTCCCTTGGGTTCGACCATGTGATGATTAGCCATATCAACCCCCTTCTTGCTCAGTACCACATGCTTGTAAATGTGAGCCAACAATTTGGTGAAAGCGTTGTTGACACTTGATTTATCGAGAGCCGATGTTTCCATGAATAAGTTAATATTCACTCTCTCAGAAAATGACAGTGCATCCTCCCTTTGGACCGATCGTAAGTTAATTTGATCAGCTTTGTTCCCAACGAGCATGATCACTATGTTTTGATCTCTGCGATCCCGAAGCTCCTTTAACCACCTTTCCACGTTTTCAAATGTTACTTTACGTGTAATATCGTATACGATCAATGCACCTATTGTGCATCGATAGTACGTGCCAACTAGCTCTCGATACCTATATTCATATAAACGGATATGACTGATCATATCTAGCTAATATATATAGATATATGGGATACCAACGAATTGCATGTATACCTACCTCTCTTCACCAGGGGCATCCAAAATTTGGGCTCTGATGATTTTGTCATCAACGTTGATGTTAACGACGTCGATCTCAACACAGTTGTTGGGTTTGGATTCAAGGTTGAATTGGTTTCTGGAGAATTGTAATAAGAGATTAGTTTTCCCGACACCTGAATCCCCGATCAAAATAAGGATGAACCGGTGATCGTGAACATGATGCTCCACCATTTCTTTAAGAAAGAGATCCAAGATTGGACGATGATTAGAGTTTTTTATTTAAGTTTTCCGATTAAGTTTTCTATGAACACTTCATAAAATCTAAATTTACCAAATAAAATAACTAGACTTGATCTCGCACATTGCGTGGGTTTGCAATCATACGGTTAACATAGTCATTGTCAAAAAATTTAAAATTTAAAAATATGTTCGAATTTACTTTTTTAACTATATTTTTTTGATCAATTTATATTCACAATCCTTATTTACGAAATAAATATTATAT